CTTTAGCAAGTCAAATCAGTGATCCATTTAATCGTAATCGTAACCATATAATATATAAGATATCAAGACGTAAGTGTAGAAAGAAATAGAAAGAAATGACCATCGATTCCTTATCGACTTTCATTCATATATACTGCAGACAAAACAATATCGCGATTCAATTATACCGCTAGCGCCATCTATCGAAAGTAATTTATAACAATAGAAACCTGACTTTTTAGGTAAACAATATTTAATTAAGTTATACAGTGTGCATTATGTATACATGACAATATTTTATATCCCTTATATATATATATATCAGTTCTTAAAAAGCGCCCCACACTTTTTTCACAATAATATTAATTTAAAAATAAATTAACAAACAATAAATGGTATTTTTGTGAAAAAAAGCGTGAGGAGCTTCATATATCACTTCTTGAGAAGCGCCCCACGCTTTTTTTTCAATAATACCATTTATTGTTTATTTTAAACAATTTTAATTAAATTGATTTCCAAGGTTGTAAAGGTTAAATTAGTTTCCACTCGGTTTCTTTCATCATTGGAGCGTGTTTTTTTAAACTATATTTATTTTTAATTTTTTAGTTTCATTTATCACCGATTGATAGATGTACTCATATTATTAATTATTAATATTTCATTATTATGTATTTTATTGTGCTGAGCTGAGCGCCTATATAAAGGTTTTGATTACCTGTCAGTGAGTCAGTGCCAAAATTAGCTATTTTCACAGGGTCATATTTCAGGATCTACTGAAGCTTTATCTATGAAATTTGGCATACTGCTTTAGGACTAGTATATGATTACGTAGGTACAATTTTATCTCTGTACTTGCAATAGACACTGAGCTACAGGGGGTCAAAAGTGGGTCGAATTTATTAAAAATTCGATATTTAGAATTGAGGCAACTCACGCTTGACCGATTTCTTAAATTTCTTAATTTTTTGTTAATCTACATATAACACACAACCTGTGTACCAAATTTCATAATGCTAAAACAATGGGAAGTGGCCTAGAGGTTTTGATTACCTGTCAGTGAGTCAGTGCCAAAATTAGCTATTTTCACAGGGTCATATTTCAGGATCTACTGAAGCTTTATCTATGAAATTTGGCATACTGCCTTAGGACTAGTATATAATTACGAAGGTAAAATTTTATCTCTGTACTTGCAATAGGCACTGAGCTACAGGGGGGTCAAAAGTGGGTCGAAACGGTTCGTGTAAATATAGTGCACGGCATGCGCCGGCCTGTGGAACTTGGCCGGCGCACTACCGTGCGCTTAGATCTCAGGATTGCTCTTGATACAACAAAATTATTGCCTTATCATTCCCGTATCAAATTTCAAGGCAACCAGTCAGGCCTATTCTTCATATAGCTTTACTGGACAACATATCTGAAAACGATTGATTGGTTGAAGGCATGACGTTGCCTAATGGGTTGTCACAAAGAAAATGGTATTGCTTCAGATAATATTGTTTCGTTTATTGATAGAATTTTTGTATATAAGTCAGTCCTTTAGTATTTTATAATAATTTTGTGAAATAATAAAAATATATTCGCAAACCGTTCACTAGTAGAAAGTTTTGTTTAACTTTTATGTTTTTCTTGTATCGCTTAGTAATGAATATTACAACAGGTTATACAACTTTTAACAGTGAAATTGAACTGTGTCATATTTTTCTATTAACTCTCGTATTAAATGCTTTTAACGTTGATAATAAACAACAGGGGTTGGAGTTACTATGAGTATATTTAATATGTGAATAAAGTTAATGACGTTTTAATTTGCTTACATGTGAGTTATGTACAAAACGTAAATTAAATAATAACTTTCTGCTTGCGATAACTTACTATTTAACTGCTAATTTATATATTAAATTTGAGTTATTGTATATATATCACAATTTATTAATCAAATTTGAATATTATTAACAAGCATTCCGCCCGCAGCTTCGCCCGCGTGGAGTTCGGTTATATAGCGTTTCCAAGAGAACCTTTCAAAAGTTTGGGATAAAAACTATCCTATGTTCTTTCTCAAGGTCAACTCTATCTCTGTACTAAATTTCATTAAAATCAGTTCAGTGGTTTAGGCGTGAAAGCTTAACAGACAGACAGAGTATCTTTCCCATTTAAAATATTAGTAGGATAAGGATTTAAGACTATAACCCTTGATTTAAAATACAATTTCAGTAGAAGTGTTTTGGAGCTTAGCAACAGTGAAAAGGAAAATCCATTAAAAACATCAATTATTCAAATAAGATATACGAGAATTAAAATGAAAAATCTTTTATAATCTTATATATAATATTTTTAAATCGGACAAAGTCGATGAGTCGAGATTTATAATACATTTTTGACTGGATCTTTGCCGCTTTCAGTCCAGTGGGCTGGAAACCTCGCTTGGCAACCCGCTATTATACTGAATATTTTCATAGCGTTAACTTAAAGTAAGTCTCTTTGAAATATATAAATCGTTGCATTATTTATAACTACCACGAGAAAAGAAGGGTAAAAACATTTGCTTTGTTTTATACTAAATCAATGTATTTAAGCGATATGTATATAAAATATCTAAAATAATTACTAGTGAGGTCAATTCTAGCTTGAGTCTAGGAAGCAACTGTCTTTTCGATTGACCGCTCATAACACGTAATAAATATGTATGTATGTAGTTAAAACAAATTTATTTCATGTTGAATAATTTATATCAATATCTTTTGATCAGATTTAAGCATTAAAGATGTAATAAGTCATTGTTAAATTCTATTAAGCTAGAGCTTTGTCTTTTATGTTAAGGCGATCATAAATTATTTTAATGATGTATTAAAAATTTAATGATTTGAAATGCAGAAAAAAAATTTCTTTCAGTAAAATAAAACACAAAAGCACATTTCGTTTATTTCTTAACCGACTGCGACGAGGCTAAAACTGTGACTTGTGATCAGAACCTAAATGTATACTAAGCATGAACGAAAAAAATGAACATATAATCTGTCTGTAGTGATAAAGAACTATCGTTTTATTAAGTTAATTATGTTTGTTCCTACCAGTTGTTTCCGAATACCTAGCAAAAAACATAACTTTAAAGCAAAAACACATTGCCTATATACATAGATTAATTAAAAATCATGTGGGTAGGCACGTAAACGATTTTTTTATGATCCCAATTATTATATTGATTTTCGAAGAATATTGAAAAAATGTACCACTTCTTAAGACTGTCTTTCTAAAATATATAGATGAGCCATTAAGAAAAACACAGAAAACTTGGAGCCTCTGTTATTTTAACAGTGGGATAAGATTTGCTAGAACGCTCACCCTATTATATCAACATAAAAAATGAAATAACGTTGTAGTGTTGCCATGTTGAGTCGTTTAGAAGGAAACAAAGCTTGATTTACAAAGGAAATTCTGGGAAATAAAATTTTCTTCTAACCGTAATCGCTATCATTTTATGTAAGCTTTTTTCTAACTGTTGGAAAACATTATTTATAATAGAAATATAAGCAGGAATAATACTTATATGTACCTAATATTAACTGCTCATATCAATAATAATGTATGAAAAATAGTTTTCTTTGTCGATTAGAGGTCTTTTAGATATAATAGTCATTATTATTGTTCTGAAAGTCAATTTAACAATTAAAGTATATTTTATTTCTAACAATTATTTGATAACCATTAATTCCTATCAATTTTATAAAAAAGTATCCCAAAAAGATAATAAAATGTTGTAGACCCTCCTTTATCCTCCCCGGTCTGCTAATTCTATTTTATCTTATTTTTTTTATTTATTATATAATGTTTGTAAAAGAAACAGGGATACACAGCTCTAGGCCATGTTTGGTTTTGTTTTTAGTGAACATTTTATTTAAATATCTTACCGAGTTCTAGACGTTTGGTTTAATAGAATTATAATAATACGAAATATTTTTTTAAGACTTTTGAAGACAGTATACAAATATTTCAATTGTAGTATTTGATATTTAATTATTAATTTTCCTTATACTTTATATTCATTATAAATTAAACATTGTTCATCTTTTCGCTGATTTTGTATTCGATGAAAGACATTTATTTTATTATAGAATCCAAAGTGTCAAAACGTGATGTTCTAAAACTTACAATTAATTATACCCATGACAGGTAACGAGAGACGGAAAGGAATTAAAGTTAATTAAACGAAAATCACTTTTACGTTGAAAATGATGATAAAAATTTGACATGTATCCAATTAAAGAAGCTTCATGTTTGTTTATTTAAAATTGTATCAGAATAAGAAAAATAAGTTATAAGAAATATTATCAATTAAAAACATGTCTTCATATGATATTGGCAGAATGTTTTGTGCAAATTTTTGAATTTAGAACATAATAACATAAGTGAGAATTTTTATTTAAAAAAAATCATATTAAATGTCATTAAAATCCCAACACCGCTGAACTCTCATTATGTTCATATAATGGAGTTACGACGTCAAAGTAACAATATCAAATGCACTGTGTTAAAGAGTTTTCTTTATAAATAAAACTTGAATAGATTAAATATGATACTTCTACAGCTCCATACAATATTCCATTAGAGGAATTTTCTGATAAAATATCTTAACGAGTCGTCTTGTTACCTATTGGATGCGTCATGAAAATATATAACTTAAATATATCAAGAATATTGTGACTCCATACTTTTATATTTTAATATAAAATACTGTTATATATTTTTGGATAGAATATAATTTCTACGTTTACATTACATAATATATGAAAATATTGTTTAGGTTGGGTATTGACGAAAATGTAAATGACGAATTCATAAAAAAATATTCTATATCTATTCCCTTATCAAAATATAGGGTTTGTTATTCAAGCTGAAAATTTCTTTGAAATCTCAAGGATTATTTTTTTTTTCAAACATCTTATTTCAAGTTTGTCCCTAATATATAATATGGGCAAAATTTATTTATTTTTTGTTATTGATACATAAATGTGTTATTGTTTCAGTGCATATCTGAAAGATGACTTCGCCGTACTACCTTATCTTGAAGCTGGCTTCAACAGGGTGAGTTACTTCCTACTTACAAGTAGAAACTTTTGTTGTAAATTCAATTATATTTAAATGAAAAAAGTTATATAACTTTATATACATGTAAGGGCAGGAGGAAAACGGGGTTCTCAAGGTAATAATAAGTTTTAGGGACTCAAATACTTTGAGAACTTTCCTTTGTCATATTTTCAAATTAAATAAACAAAATCAGATGAAAAAGAAAACATTTATTAAAAGACCAAATAACTTGAAATATTATCAAATCTATACGTACAATTTATCATATATTGTCCTTTTAACATTTATTTGGTTAGTTTTGTCCTTCGAACCCTGTTTTTACAAAGTCCTTGACATGTAAATGTAAGAAAACAAAGAGCTTATTACCTTGTAAGTGAACCCCGGCCGAGGTCAACAAATTCCAGCCCACAATTAAGGGTCCATCAGAATATGAATGTGATCACATAAACCAAGACACATCTGGCTAACTTTATACATCTCTACTTTTATTTACACAAACCATGTTAAATATAATTGTATTATAATTATTTAATAGCAATTAGAATTTGGTATAAAGATTTTTTCAGTTATATTAATACGGTATATAAAAGAATTTAATATATTTAGACACCACTGACAGACGGTGAAGGAAAAACGTGAGGAAACCTGGACATATAATTTCATAATTATAAGTCCGAAATCACCAACCCATCTTGAGCTATCGAGGTGATTAATGCTCAAACCTTCTCCATGTGAGAAAGAGGCCTTTGCTCAGCAGTGGGCGCTGATAGGCTATAAAAAACTATAAAAGACAGTTTACGGATTGATATCAAAGTAATTTGTCTCGTAAATGAAAATAACATAAATAAATAATATATACATAGGTATGTGAGTAAATTAAAATTAAATATATGACAGCCATATAGGATTTGGTCATAACTCATAACATTCTTGTTCTAAAACAACTTGTAGTCGTATTTGTATAAGTTATTTGTGAAATAACTTACAAAAAATGGTGTGCCCCCACCCGTACATGGATGCTATCGATATTCAATAGCTGTTGATAAAATATCTCGTTATCAGTACAAGGTAAAGCTTTTATATTTTTAGATATTAACGGTTTCATGTGACGAACACTTTAATTTTTACTATAATTTTATAGAAATGTCAATCTAAATTCTATTTATTAGTCATCGTCATCAGCCTATCAGAGCCCACTGCTGAGCAAAGGCCCCTTTCTCACATGGAGAAGGTTTGAGCATTAATCACCACGCTCGCTCAAGACGAATTGGTGATTTCAAACTTATAACTGTGAAATAATAAGTCCAGGTTTCCTCACGATGTTTTCCTTCACCGTCTGTCAGTGGTATCTTAATGTTCTTAGAAAGTACATATGACTCGGAAAAATTACATTGGTACTTGCAAGGATCGAACCCGCGCCCTCTTGCACTAGAGGCGGGCCTTTTAATCACAGGGACACCACTGACTTATTAGTATTATAAAATTATTTAAAAGGTTTAAAACCCAAGAGTTTGCTTGTTATATTGTTGGTTTAGGTCCTAGCTAGTTAGTTTTTAATTTGGCAAATATTTAGACACCGAAAGTTGGTTTATTGAAAGTAATATACGACAATCTAATTAATCTGGTTACTAGGATACCTGGTGCGAATTTAAATTATACCTCAGAGAAATTCATATTAAAACTTGCTTCCTGTTCTATTTCATTAAAATTTATAGCGAACTAAAGTTTTGGAAGTTTAAACATAACGACTCTTTATATAAGGGTTGTTACTCGGAGGCGTCAAAGGCGATAAGGCCATTAACTAGTTTGAAATATCCAAATCTGTTTGCTGTAGTTTGAAGTGCTTTTAAAGAGCATTACTTGAAACTAAGATTCTGTTTTAGTGGAAATTGCCTTATTTTATTTTATTTACATTCGAACAGTATCAAAAATTGCGTGTATTAACGTATTATAGTAGTATTTATATGAAGATTATATCTGTTTATGAAAACCTGTCACTAACATGTCTTCTTCCTATGAATACGATTACTGAAAGGTAAAAATATTCAATTCGATTATAAACCTTATATCTCCTTAAATCTTTAAAATATAAAAATTATATAATATTATATATGTATATATACTTTTACTCTTAGATTATGGTGGAGACTCTAGGCGCTTCAGCGTGGTGTGCGGAAATGCTTCAAGCGAGGGCAGCATCAGCAACAGCTCGTGCTCAAATCGGCGCTGTGGCAGCACTAGCAGCGGCTGCTGACCGATGCAGAGATCTGGTGGCTGTTACAGATGATCAGCAACGAATACTTGTTAGTATCTTACAATGTTGAACGTTAAATAGACGGAGAAATTTAATTAAAAACAAAGAGATAATCTTGCTTGCTTTCAAAACTTTACTGAACTATTTTTTCGTCTCTCTTTTTCTCAATATACAGAATTTTATCAAAACCATTAAACTTACTTCCAATTAATATCAACTAAGCAACTCATTTGTCTTTCTTCTCGAAGCTAACAAACAAGTCATGGTGCCGCGTCGTTGGTTCGCGGCTCGAAGAAGGTCCGCGACCTTTGACCGAAGCAATAAGCGGAGAAGCGCTTCGATTGGCAGCAAGCGGTGTCAGAGAGTGGGAAGCACCCATCATGCTTCGACGCAGAGCAACCCCTGATTCCGTATTACTTCCGTGTCGAGGTTCTTCAGTGGCATTAAACAGGTGATATACTTTAGCATCGTATAGTTTAACTTAGCTGTCTTTGAATAGTATTATCTGAAGCAATGCTAAAATTTTATCTAAGTAACATCATATTACGAAGATTTTCCTATGCTGTACTAAATTGACTTTTCCATTTTGTTGCTACTGCTGTCTACAGAATAATTAATAATAATAGCGTATAGTCAATATACAAAATAAATTTCAAGAGAACATCTTTGAAATTATTCGTATATATTTCGTATGTAGGAGTACATCCCACGTGGTGTTAGTATGTGAGGCGGCGAGTGTGATGGAGGGTGAGCGTGCTCGAGGTTCGCTTCACTCCATCCGCCGAGGTTCTTTGGATGTGAGATCAGTAGCTTCTGATGGACTACGACGGACCTCTCTCGCTAAACTACAGGGCTTACCGCTCGAGGCGCCTATTACTAAGGTTTTTACATATATGTATTTCGATTCTCAGACCTTAAACTCACTTACACTGTGATAAGACCATAGACATTATCAAATAATAATAATAATTGAAGAAATCTCTCAAGTTAACTCAAATGTATATATTGTATTTGTTGTGTATGCGTAGTACTTCATTAACAGAATAATTAAGACTTAAAACATCAACACATAAGCATTTGTTTGATTGTAACTTTTTGTAAGAAATGTTAAACTTGAAAAGTGATTAATAAAATTGGATTTGTTCTAAGAATATATAACATATTCGAAAATTTATTTAAATTTTTATTAAAATATAAAGATCATAAAGTAATTGAAAATAAAACTAATATTTTCCAGATTTACAAGTCATATATTTACAACTCGTTTTTATTATTATTTTAACCAAATTTGTTACAAAGGAACCGAAACGTCGGGAGTATATTATTAAAACAACTATAAGCTCTTTTAATGCAAAAAATATTAGTTTCATTTCAATTGATACTTCAATGTCTAAGATTTCATTATATAATTTCATTATACCGTAGTTAATACAAAAAAAATTGTTTCATTTCAATGGATACTCCAAATTCTAGAACTCATTATATGGTCTCATCATATCAGGTGATATCTCTTCTATCCACTGCCACGGAGGGTGCTCCGCCCTCGACCGTGGCTTGTATTGAGCGTGCGGTCGACATGCTGCGGACCTCCGAGCTATACTCACCTCAAATGAGAGAAGACCCCAAGATGAGAACAGAAGACCCCATAGCCACAGATCTCATTGGGGCTTTACTATCGGTGAGTAACAAATAAATCTATCTTATATAATCCTTATTAATTAATGTACTAAATTAAATATTTATATAATGTGTAATTATATATATAAATATTATTTATCTGCCCATGTTCTGTCCTGGGACAGCGGGAACAACTCAACACAAACCTTGCTTACATGGTACGAGATTTATATAAAACAAATCTCTTCTACTGTGGTCGTCCATTTCTTCCAGAGTAGATTAGTTCATGGTCTTATTTGGATTATGATTTTTTTTAAATTTTTCTGCTACTATTACTATCCTATAGTTACATGTCCTGTCTCTTCTATGACTAACGATTATTATTTTCAAGACATAGTTTTTTTAAGTAAAAACTAATATTGATTAACTTCTTCTTCTACCTAGCAATTTCCCAGCTTTAGCCAGGGTCTGCCTTAATATTGATTAACTGACTGCCTTAAAACAAAATAGGACGAAGATGTATTTATTGCACTTTTTAAAGAACTTCAAAATGACTGAAAGAAAAAATGTTACATTAATTTTTTTTTTTTAAGTGTGTTGATTTTCAAAACGAAGTAAAACAGGTGACAAAACTTACTTAAATATTTGTATATCAATTATTTATTTGACCGATACATAAATATACTCAATCTTTGTTGAACGCTGTCGTTATTACGAACAAGACTATTTTCAGAATTTATCTCTTTTCCTTTGGTTATATACAAACTATATATTTTAAATAAAGACGACAATACTAACCCAAATGAATAAAAATTTATAGACCTTTTGAAATAAAAATTCATATTTTTAGTATACCTAAGCTATATTAATTAACTATCGCTGTGTTTTCTCTTCATCTTCAACTATTCTTTTTCTTTCAACTTTATAGAAATAGTCTTACTATAGTTTAATTATTTGTATGCACTAGCATTATGAAGTTGAGAAATTTAAACATTTACAGTTTTATTACATTAATCTTAAATTGAATATAATACCGACATTTCCAATAATATTACGAAACAGCACAATGATGCTAAATTTTCAATTTATATATGTTTATATTGCAGCAAGGTACAACAAACGTGTTGTCTTCACGACGAAGCAGCAATGACTCCACCGTGGTCAGGTCTCAAGCGAATAGAACGAACATGAAACATAAGGTGAGAATGATATCCACATACATATGTATATACTTCATACTAGTCACGTTTATACATTAACTAGCAGCGCCCCGCGGTGTTGACCTTGGATTTCCGGGATATAAAGTAGCCTATGTGTTATTCCTGGACGTCAGCTTCCTGTATACAAAATTTTATCAAAATCGTTTCAGCCGTTTGAGCGTGAAGAAGTAACAAACAAACACACACACTCACAAACTTTGGCAATTATAATATTAGTAAGATTATTTTTTCCTAATATTCTTCTATGACTAGTGGATGTTGATAAAAATTACCAATTTTTTGGACGTTCTTTACTTTAGTTAACAAAGTTATATTTAAATTTAATTCTGAGATAGGTATACATAACATTTTAAGTTGACACGTTAAATTAAACCTAATCATTTTATCTTCCAAATAGAACCTAGTCTTTGTATTTCCATATCTTCCAAGATACCAGATTCCAAGACTCCAGTCTTATTCCAAAAATTGACAAATTCATATTTAATACACAAACATTAAAATTTAATTCGGAGATATACATACATAAAACAAAAATACGTCACGTTATAACTAAAACTAAATCCTTTTATCTTCCAAATAGAATCTTACTTACGTATATATTTCCATGTCTGAAGTCTTATTCCAAAACAATATCTTCCAAACAGACAACAGGTCAGCTCCGCGAGGTTCTAGACACAGCGTTGAGTTGGGACTTCGAGATCTTTCGTTTGGAGGACCTCACCCGCGGCCGGCCGCTCACTCACTTAGGACTCACACTTATGGGAGGACGCTTTGATGTGTGTTCAGCCCTCGAGTGTGATGAAAGAACCTTACTACACTGGCTCACTATCATTGAAACTAACTACCACGCTGTCAACACATACCACAACTCGACGCACGCCGCTGATGTCTTACAGGTATAGTACTTCCAAATACAGGTTCCATTTATAATGTAATTAAAATTTCTATTTTTGACACCTAATTATGGTTTTGTCATTTGGTGTAACTGTAGTACAAATTTTGGTCTTTATAATTTATACACCTTTCGTCAATCCAAACATATTATTGTGCTTTTGATTACAAAAATGATATTTTTGAATGAATGAATCTTATTAACGGTACCAATATTATGAATATCTTGGAAAGACAATATTTAACGCTCGAAACAGTCTGTCCTTGCTCAACAAAAGCGCGCAAAAAATATACTAATATCATCAATGTACACTGAAGACCTGCACGTTATAAACATAATGCAGGCGGTCGCGTTCTTCCTGGAGAAGGACCGTCTGAAGTCTGTACTGGAACCGCTAGAGGCGGCCGCTGCTCTCATATCCGCTGCCGCTCATGACATAGACCACCCCGGGACCTCGTCCGCCTTCCTCTGTAACTCGCGCCACTCCCTCGCCATACTATATAACGATGTCTGTGTGTTGGAATCCCATCACGCTGCGCTCACCTTCAAACTCACTCTCAGTAAGTGGTCAAATTGATTTCTATTAAAACGAACTGAATAGAGTTATTACTATTTTTCTACATAATAGTTGGTAGTAATGCAACAAAAGGTTGTAAATGCATTTTCGTAAAAATCTAATTGATTATATCCTTCCATTTTAATCTAATTGTAACGGTTTTTCTGTATTGTGTATATAGAATAAACATTGTATTACCAGAGACACATATACCAAAAAAGAATTAAATTATCTTAGTACCGATTACATAGTGCTCGCAAAGTTGCAATTACAATTTTAATTGCCCAAGATGTAATTACATACAAACATTGGTTAAGCGATCATAATGCTAGATTTGGTCCAAGAGCCTTAAAATTTCTGACAAAGCAAAAAAAAAACCTAACTGGATTATAAAACTTCTCATATGTTTCTCATATGAAGAGACTTATTCCAGATCCTAGTATCAAATCGCCAAAGATCCCGATAGTTTTATTTAAATTTCTTGTCTTATATATCCGTGTTATGTTCTCGGTCTACTTGTAACTGTTTTTCATCTCGTCCAACTTATATACCTATTTAATTTCGGTCTTAAATCTCCGTATTGTGTCCAGACGACGACCGTGTCAACATCTTCAAGAATTTGGACCGCGACACGTACAAGAACGTGCGACACAACGTCATCGACATGATCCTAGCTACCGAGATGACCAAACACTTCGAGCACCTCGCAAAGTTCGTGAACGTGTTCTACGCGAGGAGCAGCGGCAGCAAGGAGGACGGCATGCAGACTGATGTTAGTATACACACACACACACACACACACATACACATACACATGTACACATAGACACACATACGTTAAACATTCATAAAATAGCTTTTAAACTAACTTAATTGTCAAATTATTTATCAGAAATTGTATTGAGTTAATAAACTCAATAATCGTTAATTTAAATATAGCATTTTTGTTTTCGCCACACTGTACTCAATATTATAAATCATCCAACCAATAAAAATGATGACATCAGCAAAATATTTCACCATACTAACAAAGAAATAGCATTAAAAAAAATTTTATTTACATATACATACGTATATAGTTTGATTCACTTTATCCGGTAGGAGACTTCCTTAATTCTGTAACCCTAACTATTTATTATTCTGAGTTACTTTTGTTCGTTTATAGCTTAGTAATAAAAAGGAGGAATTTTATTTTGTAACAATTTCTTTTATTGTCTAGAAAAAATTAAGTAAAATTTTGTGTCCAACTACATGAAAACTATGAATATACCTATATATGTACCTATATACCAAATAAGTGCATTTTCTTATAAAATTACCAATATACATACATTGTCTCAACATTTGAATTTTTAATATTATTTAAAGGATCAAAAATATACAAAGCCAGAGGTGGCAAATCTTTGGCAAGTGTAAAAGAATGATGTCCGTTTTGGCCGTATTTAAATCATCTGATTGATATTTTTTTTATTCTATTGATATTTCAGGAACCACTATCTTTGGACACAACAGCTTTGACTTCGCCAGAAAACGTCGTCCTTATAAAGAGAATGATGATCAAATGTGCTGACGTGTCAAACGCGTCTAGACCACAGAAATTCGCTTTCGAATGGGCCAGGAGGTATAATATTTTTTCCATAATCACTTGCTAAAATTACATTTACATGAAAAATAATTAAACTAATGAGACAAAAGTCATCATAATAGCGTCTTTTACATTATTATTTTAGCATTAATCAAAAAATTTGATAAAAACAGACATAAAACGTGTGTTAAAGTTATCCATTTAAATGAACAGAATCGCTGAAGAATATTTCCTTCAAACGGACGAAGAGAAGGCTAAAGACTTGCCAGTAGTGATGCCGATGTTCGACCGAGCGACCTGCTCCATACCTCGCTCACAGATAGGCTTCATAGACTACATCATCATAGACATGATGGAGGCTTGGGCCGGTGAGAACTAACTACTAGTATTACATAGGCTTCTTTACAACTATTGATTATGTCTTTATATCTTTGGTACTTTGCAATATTCTCATGTCCAATCGACCAAAAATTTGAACATATTTTAGAACATATTTTTTTTGAATTTTACTTTTCGGGAAAAAATTCGAAAGCCTAATACAAAGAGCAAATATTTAAATATTTCTTTGTTGTGTATGATTATGTCTTTATACCTTTGGTACTTAAAAAATTCACAAAGTTCAATCGACCAAAAATTTGAAATTATGATATAAAATTTATTTTTTTGAAATTTTACCTTTAGGGAAAAACATCCGAAAACCTAATAGATTTCTTTGTTGTGTAAAATTAATTATATAAAAATTATTATCTTTTTCTAAAGACTAAAAATATTTCAATCCAGCTTTCATCGATATGCCGGAGTTAGTGACACACGCGAGGAACAATCACGCTCGTTGGCGGGAACTTGACGAAGCGGGAGTCACTACTATAGCGGATGTACGGCGAGCACAGAGACAAGCCATCACTAACACTAACACTACCGAGGAATGAAACGACTTATAAATATTATACACACAGACAGTCCTACCAACAACAGAAAAAAATGTTTTTTTTAATCTGTGGCGTATATATGCCAGTTTCATCGACATATACTAATGGACATGCCTTAGAGATGAGAATTATGACAAGAGAGGAAACAAAGTTTAGGTCTATCTTTATCTCTCTCAAAATAGTACCGTACTTAAGACGTTATGAGTTATTCTGGATAATTTATATGCCGTGCTTGTCATGAAAACTGAGCGCCAATCATCTATGAGGAAAGAGATGGTTCTAGACCGTAAGCATAGGCCATCTGTCTCACTCTCTTCAAACCAAAAAATTACTGCAGATTATACGCGTACGACGGCACGTCCATTTGTATATGTCGATGCCAGTGTCAACATTTGACTTACTCTAGTTGTCAGTTGTCAATGTAAAGTGACAAACGAAATGTCATATACACTGTAAACGTCATTGTGACATTTTTTTATATATTTTAGTGTATGGTGTTTTATTATATACCCTTTTTCAATTTAGTGACTTAAACTTATACTGAATGTCAGATGTGAGTTGTTCGCGTATATAAATGATTTTTAATCATATTTTATTATCGAAATAACGTAATGTTGAAATATTTTTGGAAATCTATGGATTAATACGAGTCGTTATTTATTTCCCCGATTTAAATTTTCATAATTCAGAAGTCTGGTCGACTCTAGTTAACACTTGTTGAGATAAAATTTAATACAAAAAAAGCAAAAAAAAAAACTCAATCTTTAAAAATGATCAAATTACAAAATAACGACTATGTAGTGTAATTGAAAAGTCTTTATGACAATTACTAAAAATGTAATAACATTTTTGGTTATCGAGACATAATAAATAAAAACCGGACACGACTTAACCTCCGGTAATAACTGGACATAATTTCGACGTCAACTCTAAAAGTCTGAAACGGATGATCGGCGATGCGTCCGAAGATACGCTTATTTTATACATATTGTATCGGTGTTAGTGGGTACGTGTATTATACTATAGCGGTAGACGCGATGTTTGTATTTCGTGGATTTCATTGTTATATCTAAATGTTATCCGTTACGAGTCCTGCTGTTGCCATTTAGACGGGTATTTATTTGTGTAGTATACGTAATATGAATCCGTGATACAGTGCCATATGTGTAGTGGCGGGCTGTTTTCATCTATATCACTCCATGACAGACGCCATTCCGCCATTGTTGTACAGCTGATTGACATTTTATGTACAGCCAAAGTAATCAATATAAATCAAATAAAGATTTATCACTGGCTGAGACAACGTAATTAAATTGTACCAAATTAATTCATGTGCGATACAATGGCAGATGATGCGGCATGTTTTAATCCTCTTTATTTTGTATTTTCCATACAGCTTTCTTCTTAGCTAATCAAATCCTATGATAATTGATTGGTCCACTTACACTTGAGCTTCGAGGAGAATTCCTATTTTTATATATAAACTTTTTTAATATATACCCATTTCGAGCTCCATATCAAAATTCCAAAAAGTTTTTGACATCTTTTCTAATCTATAAACTATATAAGCCTTCATTTATTTTACATAAAAGTTTGATATGATGTATTTTATTGAATGAATAAATTCTTATAACCTAGCGGATATATCTTAAAGCCTAACTCGTGTTTCTATTAATTTATTGTATTCGAATAAGATTCAAGGTGTTTATACTAATTATTACGACTATAGATAACGTAGAAGTTTATTCGTCTACATGACGCTGGTACTTTAAGTGATTTACATATTGTATGGTAATATATAATGTTACGCTTCCTTGTGCTCAATGTCAATACATAGCGGTCTAATGTACTGTTTACCTTATACTATGTATATTATAAGTTTGTGTTCAATCTCATGTAGATTGTTTACAATATTTTGTCCCTACTAATGAAGTACACGTATGTTAGTTATAGTTTTTATTGTACTTTGCTAGTTAGCTCAATTGTGTAACGCCCGCGTACGATATTTGTTTAAAATAATGTTTTTATTCTCTCCTCTATTCCATTTAAAGGAAGTAATCTCAGATTGTTATGCTACTGACCAATATAGATGACAGTGTTGCCATGTATTATTATAATTTAACTATAATTTTTTGGGTAAAAAGTGTACAGCGCCCTTAGTATATGAGGATAAAAAAATAAGCCTTTTACATACTGAGAGCACTGTACTGAAAATTTGTAGTAAACGATCTTAGTAGTTTAGAGGAGACTTTAACATTGAATAGTAGATGTTTTATTTATGCTAAAAAAAATATATTCTTTTAAAAAGGCCATGATTAATATAATGAATGTTATACTTTATGTTACTTGTAAGGTTTGAACAAGGGGGCTGGTCCCTGAGAGGTTTGTTGTGTAATTTATATGAAGAATATATAAGGACGGAATATGTTAAAAGAAAATGTACTTTTTAATATCGATCTTGATGTTTAAATTTTTAATATTACTTTGTTGCTTCAATCAAATAATATATAGCGAGTTGTTTTTAACGATGTAACTTTCAAGTAGGCCTTCAAGATGACAAAGGTTATGTAAATGTATTTGCGATATAAAAAAAAATATATAATGTTTTAATAATGTAACATTTTAAACTGATTTCCGAGTATTATATGTCCTGTTTAATGAATGACATTGTTAAGTGTTGTGTAAATTAAGAAATACTTACAATCTTTATAGTTTGATTTGCAAACCCCCGGAACCTTAGAGATTAGGAAAACCCACAAACAAATACAATGTACAGAGCTCCCACTTGCCTACTGTTTGTATAGTGGCCAGAGCTCTTCTTATAACTTGTATGTAAAAACATAACAATGAAGAGAAATATTTTAGAAAAAATATTCATACAATACGACAATAATCTGAACAGATTAGTAAGTAAGTAAGTAAGATTTACAAGTATGTAATGATATATTTTTTTAAATAGAATATATATTACGACTATTACTTGTGACATGCACTTTATACATTTTACTATCGCTACCAATAGATGGCGCTAGGAGAATAAGACGTTCTACACATCTGGAGAAAGCTCTCAGTAAAACCAATACTATACCATCATAAAACATTTTATTATAAACAATAATTAAAAAAAAACATTAAGACATTTCGGAAGAGAGGTCCATCATTGAGAGAAAATAGTCTTCAACAGACTTAATTAAGAAACATTTCAACAATACCGTCATTGCTATATAAATGCAATCGAAACACTTCCTTGTAATATTTATCCGAGACATAAATAAATTAAATATATTTCTTCACTTACATGAAAACAATAAGGAATTTAATATAATCGTTATGTATTACAGGCATTGTTTTTATTTAATGAGAAATATAAGTAAAAAAAAACGAAATATTAAGGCATAGTGATTAACTTTCCTTTTTTTGTTTTCAAATATTTCATTAAAGTTATTTCAATTCGGTGTCATTTTAATGGAATGAAGAGAATAAAATAAATATAAAAATATATATTCTGATTATCTACAGTCCCTGTGTGAAAAATAATTCTAGTAACATTTCGTTTATTGAGCATGATAAGAAAAAAAATGCAAATAAAACATATAGGAAGTTATTATTAATGTTATAAATCAATGAAACTATACATACATTTTTATAGGAATATCATCATTAATAATTAATATATTAGGAATCTGAATAACTATATCAGTGGCGCCATCTTGTATATATATTTTGTTCTAGACCAGTGACTATATTACATATGTACATCACTTGTAAACATACATACGAATTAATTTTTATTTAAATTCAATAAACTTCAGTATATATTTTAATATAAATTTTAACTCGCTGTTATTTTATCTCAAATCACATACATTTTATTTGTAGTGTTTAAAAATTATAAAAGCGAGTTTAAATAATCGAGATCTTTAAAAAAAAAATTGTCCCACAGACCCAATTACTACAAGAGCTGTATACAAACTGACAAAAGAATCAATAATATTATATAGTGTTTGAAGAACTTTAATACACAACACCCTAAACATATCTTAATACAATACTAATTTTTTTTTACACGTATATATAGATTTCTGTACACATAGAAATCTTTACAATAATTACATTAAAATACACGTGACAGTTGTCCGTCGGGAAGTAATGAAAAAAAAATTAAAATTAAAATTATCGTTAGACGATAGTTTCGGTGCCACGTGGTGTCGTCGCTACATCACTAGCGGTTTATCCCGGCACTGCTCGAGCACGTAGCTCGTGAACCGTTTAAGGAACTTGGGGTATTCTCGTTTATAGACCGCTCGAAGCACGCCCGCTGGCGCCCAGCCGCCGGGGTTCACTGTGAAGTGAAGGTTGAGAAGGTTGAAAATAGAGGTTATATGTAATAACATGAATATTTGACTACCGACATGTTTAAAATTTCTGTTCACTAATTGAAATATATTTTTTATTTTTTTTTTTATTGTATTTAGTCTCTTCGACTGTTTGTATGTACATCTGGGTAAATGTGTGTATATGTGTAAGTATGTGAGACGAGTCAGTAGTGGCCTAGTGCTTAAAAGGCCCGCCTCTCATGCACGGGGGCGCGGGTTCGATCCTGGCCCGGGCAAGTACCAATGTGATTTTTCCGAATCATATGTACTTTTTAAGAGTATTAAGCCATCACTGATTAATGTTGATTCCCAAAAGAGGGTTGATGTCAGGCAGGCGGCCGGTCGTAAAAACAAATAGCCAAAACTATTCACAACATATAGGGCAGACTCAGGCTATAGCTGGGAAATTGCCAGGTAGAAGATGTGAAAGTATGTGTGTATGTGTGTGTGTATGTGTGTGTGTGTGTGTGTGTGTGTATGTACCTGTACTACAATACGCGATGCTGGTGGTGATGTTATCCCTGGAGGGTTGCTGCCCCGGAGGCCACTCGCTGCGGCACGCGAGACACACCGTCACTATCAGACGTATACAAGCACCAGAGTTTGCCTGAAATAATATTCATATATAATATAATGAAACTAATTCCAGATATACAAAATGGCGACTTGATATTCTTCTAAATGACTTTGTTAGATAATATTATATGAATACCACCAGCTATATTTAAATATATATCATAAAGTATTTAAATTAAAAAATACTTCCTATTTACAGCCATAAACAATCTCATCAATCATTAAAAAACTAATATTACATAATATGTTTATTATATAACGTCTAAGATTATTCATTTACTATAAAAGTTCTATGTAACATAAAATATTACGTATCGTTTTCACATATAAGAATGTATACAGAAAATAAATGTTGATCATGTGACTGACAGACATCACAAACAAAAACAATTATACATACATTTATGATAGTGATAAGGATGTGTGACAATACGGAGAGTGATTACAATAAAATAATACATAAATAAAACATAATTCTCGGTTATGAGCGCCGGATCTGAAGTAATCTTTATGAGAACAACAACACACAAGGAAAAACTTACTTAGACTATATGAGGAGTTATAAATGAGACGTTTAATTATTACATATAATTCACACACATGGTATATTAAGCTGTTAATTTGAACGGTTATTAATCACATCCATGAATTCCGTAAATCATTTGACCTAATGCAATACACACACATCGTATATTAAGTTGTTATATTAATCACACGAGTGGTATAATCATTATAAGATGTAATTACTATGTAATATAATTCGCACACATGGTATATCAAGCTGTTATCTCGACCTAATATTAATCACACACGTGGTATCCCTACTAATATTATAAATGCGAAAGTAACTTTGTCTTTTTGTTACGCTTTCACGCCTAAACCACTGAACTGATTTTAATGAAATTTGGTACAGACAGAGATGACCTTGAGAAAGAACATAGGAGAGTTTTTATCCCAGACTTTAGAAAGGTTCTCTTGGAAACGCGATATAACCGAACTCCACGCGGGTAACACCGCGGGGCGCAGCTAGTATGTAATAAATCACACACATGGTATATTAAGGTAAATCTCTATTCTTCTTACCGGATATCGTTCATTGGTTGTGGAGTGATTTGTTACAGCGTACGTGTGTTGCGGCGCGGATCTAACGTGCGACCAGAACAAAGCATCCCTTTGTGAAGCCGGCCATATACGCTTGAATGTCTGGTGGAATACTATAGCGTCGCTGGAAATCGCTTCCACTATATTCATATTCTCTAGTGTGGCTGAAAATTAACATAGCATATTATTTATTTTTGCTGCTACACACATACATTCCATATATAATACAGTTATACAGAAGAGAATTTTTTTTTTTAAAGAATACAGTGTAGCAAGGGGGTCCATCTCAACTTATTGTATTATGATAACTATTGGGTTATTATCAAGGATTACTTTTAATGTTGAATTATGTACTTATGTACATCTAAATGATTCTTAGTCTACTAAAAGGTATATTTTTTGTATCATTCTGCTAAAATTATTTTAACCAACATATATACTATATAGGTATTATTTATGTCATAAATGAAATAATCTTGACTTTATATTACAAATAATGTATCCTTACTTTCCCATTCGTATCTGTATCTCGGATTGAAGAAGTAATGGCACATCTCCCGAGCTGATACTCCTCGTACCTTGTGCATCGCCTTCAATGGATCCATTACCATACCATCAACTTCTACTTCTCTGGAAGAAAAAGAGAATTTATATAAATATATATGCTAGAAGACCCGGCGAGCTTCGTATCTCCCTATAATCAAGAAATATCTGTTACGTTTTTTTATTTATATTTTCGGAGTTTACCTATTAAAGCCATAAATTTCCGTGTTTTGAAGTGCGACAGAATGATTGACATATTAGTTAGTTGTCAAATCTAATGTAAAAAAAAGTTTGTATCAACAACTACTAATGAATTAAAAATTAATTAAAAAAACATTGTCCAGCGGACAAAATTGTGAATCTAAATCATTCGAAGAAGAAGAAAATCGGTCCAGTCGTTTGAGAGAAGTTCAATGACATATACACTCACAGAAGAATTATATGTAAAGATATATGCAACGTTTCCCAAAGAGGGTTGATGTCAGGCAGGCGGCCGGTCGTAAAAACAATTAGCCAAAACTATTCACAACATGTAAGGCAGACCCTGGCTAAAGATGGGAAATTGCCAGGTAGAAGAAGAAGATATATACATATATATGCAACGGTGTGCAACGGACTAGACATTATTAATTAGTTTATGCAACCTACATATGTCATTTTACAAATTATTTCATATCATTGACAATATTTATGTATTACGGTTCAAAGGATATCAAAATCACAATCTTTTTAGAACAATCGTAATATCTTATCGTACACTAATTGCATATGGAATGTATTGAATAACTGAGCGTTTATGATATTGCATACAACATGATTATATACTAGTGCCAGTATATAATGACTTGTAATTATGTGAACGATTTGTGAACATCACTCACAATTTATCACTTATTTGATTTGTTATAATCACTCTTTCCAAATATTTACAAAAGTTAAAAATGTTAGAATTTAAAAAGAATTGTACTTCCGACAATAGATTATTTTTTTTGTTATTTCGAGTGTACATGGAGAAGTTATGTATATACTTGTAATGGTTTTTGTATAAACGAAATATGTATGTAACTCATTACAAGCAGATTTGTTTCAAAATAACGAGTCTCAGCATTTCAGAAATATCTGAAGTTGTAACTAGTGTTAAAGAAACATCGTCATTTTCTACTTTAAAACCAAACATTGCTAAACTAGGGCAAAAATAAACAAAACGATTTTCAAAAATCCTAACATCGTCTAAAGAAAGCGTAATTGGCCACCGAAGGTCTTTGTTTATAGCTGATTACTGAGAAAGTCGTTCAAGCTTTGACCTCACATATAAAGTGGGACAATGACGTTTGGAGAAAAGTACTATCACTGATAAATCCATACTCTTAAAGAAAAAGGGTGTAACTTAAAAAAATCTCTCGTAAACTTTAGGTCAGTAGTAATTACTCTGTAGATTAGTAGAGAAAGTTTTTAACAGCTATAATATATAGTTTGGAGAGCTTGGAATAAAATTTTAAAGTGCATGCTTATGCGTAACTTCACACTGATAAAATATGCTCAGTTTTATTTAGGTAAGAAACTAAGTTTTCGGGTAACACTCGTCTTAATGGATAGAATATCTTTAAAATAAATTTAGGGCGATTCCTATTAAACCAAAAATATTTACAATATGTAACTTTTTGAACCATAAAATTATTATATCAAGCTTCGTTGGTAGTTTAATTAATATGCAACGACATATACTTAAAGTTTTGACGGAGAGCAAGAGATATTAAATAATGTCGCAATTTTAAATTGAATATATAAAACAGAACATAAATAATAAATTTGACTACTTTAAAAACTTAAATATATTAATTTCAAAAATATGTTCAAATTAAATATTAGAAGTCAAGACACAGAAAAATATATACATAGTCTAGTCGACATGTTCAAAAACGTGTTAAATAAAAATAAAGCTCCTAAAAATATGTGTGATAGCTCATTCGATTCGGAATGACGCCTAGAAAAATGTTTTAAGGGTATATTGGCACATAAAAAATTCCGATTGTTATTAACAAAATAAGACATAAAAAATGTATTCAGTTTTTCGTTAATAACCTTAAAAAAATAATATTTAAGGAATTTCGTAAGAAGATCATGAAAAAGCAGGAAATTTCCAATAAAATAATCCTAACTCCCGGAACTCTATCTGTATTATTTATATTTTTTTTTAAAGCTGGACATAGGGCTCCGCGATTGCATTACGGCATTTGCGTATATATATGAAAATTAGGTGTCGTATTTGTTTATAGATAATGACTTTTTACTATAATCACAGGATTAAAGCTTAAAGTACAAAATAAAGAATGAAAACTTCTCAACATAACCAGGAGTCGAACCTGCTACCTCCCTTATATTGCGTTCCAATTGCTTTACCAACTATGTTAAAAGGACCTGAATCGAATCGGTAAAATAAGCATAATTCTTTAAGAAAATCAGTTTTCATTAATCGTTTTCATAGTTAAATATTAGCTCAACATTACTTTGTTGTTAAAACCATAATTGCATGTTCATTTTAAGAATAGTTTTAGTAACAAAAACTAACTGATAGACAATATTTTATCTCCTTGCCATCAACATGAATGCTATGCTATTAAAGTCACGATCTGTTATTAAAACAGTTTTAATGGTGTCTGTAGTTTATTTAATACACAAGGCGATATTAGTCTTACATAGTGTAAATAATATGTATATTTGAAAAATAATAATTTTTTTTATTAGTTATTGAAAAAATTGTAATTGTTGCATAAACGTGTATGCGTGAAAATTTTTGCTACCTTCGAGCAAGTTTTACTGAATATTTAAATTGAATAAGGTTGTTCTTGGACAAAATATTATTTTTTCAGATCAAATCGAAAACATTTTGTTTTTTTTTTCTTTCAAATGATATTATTTGTAATCTTCTAGAAGCATTAACTATCTAATGTCTATCAATATAATGTCTATCAATATAATATCTATCAATATAATGTCTATCAATATAATATAATTACTATCAAATGTCTGTCTGTCAACCAGTCTGCCAACCAGTCAACCAAACAGTTTACAAATCAATCGACCGGCCAGTTTGCAAACCAATTCGCCATTCGTCCTATCAGTTTGCAGAACATTAAACTATTCCTAAAAGCCATATTTACCTCCTATACATCCTCATATCACCTTCCTCAGCGAACAGCTGCCATCCTATCTGACCTCCGACACCCTCGAACGCTGCCTGTATTTGTTCTGTGGATATCCTATCGATCTGCAAAACATCAAGAAAATTAAATAAGATTATTAAGAAAAAATATTCTCCAAACATTTGAGTACTAGGTAAAATTTTGGGATAGTTTTATCAAAATCCGTCGAGTATATTTTACGAGAAAAATAATAAACGTTCACATCTATAATTTTAATAAGATCGTTCCATTTTCATATCAGATCGATTGTAATTGAATTTCTGTGGAACTTTTTAGAAATAATATTTTTTTAATTGAAATATTATATCCATCTGAAAAGTAAAGGAAAAGTAAATAAGATATTATTATCTAACATTTCTTTTCCACTAAGTATGACATCGCGTGCATAAATGCTCATTTCGCTTTCCGTATTACATAATTTTCTCTGTCAAATCAAAGTGCCGATGTCAATCTTCGTTTTGACACTATCATATATTATATCAGCAAAATTTTACATACAATATGCTGTTCTTTTAATTTCAATACTCTAAGGCTACTTTCGTATTCGCCAAGGTATTAGTATTGAAATAAACTAATATTCTTTTGTACTTTAACGCAAATTTTCTTTTAACATAACTATTCCATTCAATAATCTCATAAAAAACCAAACAGACTACCTTTAGAGTCATTAAAACCAAACAGTCTATGTTTCCTACCTCTAGCCACCAATATCTAACAGTCTATGATTCCTATCTCTAGCCACCAAAATCTAACAGTCTATGTTTCCTACCTCTAGCCACCAATATCTAACAGTCTATGATTCCTATCTCTAGCCACCAAAATCTAACAGTCTATGTTTCCTACCTCTGGCCACCAAAATCTAACAGTCTATGTTTCCTACCTCTGGCCAACAAAATCTAACAGTCTATGTTTCCTACCTCTGGCCACCAAAATCTAACAGTCTATGTTTCCTACCTCTGGCCACCAAAATCTAACAGTCTATGTTTCCTACCTCTGGCCACCAAAATCTAACAGTCTATGTTTCTTACCTCTGGCCACCAAAATCTAACAGTCTATGTTTCCTACCTCTGGCCACCAAAATCTAACAGTCTATGTTTCCTACCTCTGGCCACCAAAATCTAACAGTCTATGTTTCCTACCTCTGACCATAAAAACCTAACAGTCTATGTCTACTACCTCTAGCCATAAAAATCTAACAGTCTATGTTTCCTACCTCTGGCCATAGTGTATGCACGGTGAGCCTGTTATCAACAGCCGGCGGTGGCAGTTCCACCTCATCCCTGGTGTGCTCCGCTGGGGGCGCGACCCTCGCACACCGCTCCTCCTCCATCTTGTCGAAGCCTGTCTCAACAGCATCGTAGAACTCGTCGTCTGGTAACGTCGAGTGTGGCCCCTCCTGTTATATTAAACAATTAAGCTATATAAGCTTATGACCGCGATATTATCCACTTGTTCTTCTAAAAACTTAAAGAGGACAGACATGGTATCTAACCAGTAGTTCCATCTAGGACACCAGGACTATATAAAATACAACTATCATGTCGGTTCTTTAGGAATATCCAAGGATACACTATGGCAACGAAATTGGCCACTTGGTCTTCTAAAAACTTAAAGAGGACAGAAATGATATCTAATCAATAGACCCATCTATGACACCAGGACTATATAAAATACAACTATCATGTCGGCTTCTTAGGAAGATCCAAGGAATTTTGGAATAAGTAAGACATACATTATTCTGGTTTTTAAACTACTTGAGTAGAAAGTTACTTCAAAAACCGTCCGAATAAATATCAATACACACACATTGATACAATCTCATAAACTTTCACATTTATAACGTAAGTAGAATTTAAATAATCATTATTCTCACTAATTTTATTATTATTAATATTTTATAAAATCTAGATATATAAAGTAATCAGAATAACAATGGATTTACTAATTTCATATCAATTAAATGTAGCGTGTTATTTTACTAAATGCTAATCGTCAAACGTCACGATAATAATATTTTTAAATAGAATAATAACAAGAAAAGTATTTAATATTAATAGAAGTGAAGTATCCGATGCGATTATGAAACCTCTTAAAGGCTGAAGCGCATTCTTTCATCAAGAAAATCCTAGTGACTTATTTATTTAATTATAATGTGGCTCATGCTTAATCAAATATTACTTTCACTTGCCAGTCTAGAAGTACGATAAATATTTTTTTTATATAATTTAATTTACATTTTAGTCAAAAAAAATTCGTATGAATTTCTTTCAAAATACTTATTAAAGAATATTATAAATCCAAACTTAGTGACGCTATGTAAATAAATTAAAGATTTTTTCATTTAAAAATTCATTCCGTACATCTTAAATAATATATAGACAATACATATTGTAGATAGAAAGTCAGTGGTGCCCTAGTGGTTAAAAAGGACCGCCTCTCATACACGAGGGCGCGGGTTCGATCCTGACCCGGACAGGTACCAATGTGATTTTTCCAAGTCATATGTACTTTCTAAGTCTATTTAGACATCACTGAATAATGCTGATTCCCAAAAGAGGGTTGAGGTCAGGCAGGCGGCCGGTCGTAAAAACAAATAGCCAAAACTATTCACAATATGTAAGGCAGACCCTGGCTATAGCTGGGAATTTGCCAGGTAGAAGAAGACATATATGTAGATAGAAATAAAATTCCATAAAGTAACAGCTATATCCCAAAAGCGAAGACAAAAAGCAAACAATGCTAATAAAATCAAGTATCGATAAAAAAATCGCAATTCGCAACTAAAACCAATTCATCTTTTCTGATCGTTCAGTCTCATGCACCATCACAAATCATATTATAACATATGATTAACTGTTCAAATAGTATCCCTACTAATGTTATAAATGCGAAAGTAACTCTGTCTGTCTGTTACGCTTTTACGCCTAAACCACTCAACTGATTTTAATGAAATTTGGTACAGAGATAGAGTTGACCTTGAGAAAGAACATAGGATAGTTTTTATGCCAGAATTTTGAAAGTTCTCTTGGAAACGCGATATAACCAAAATCGACGCGGGCGAAGCCGCAGGCAGAGAGCTAGTAAAACATATATAATAGAAAGTACTGCAGTAGACTAGAGTGAGCGTGTATCTGAATTAATTCTACCTGACACGCTGCTAACCTACATACATGAGGACACAGTAATATGTTATGCTCGTTACGCTGCTATTATCTAATATAGAATGCTTTCATAATTAGGATTAAACAATTGGTTAACCAACATTTAGCTTGAAACAACGTCTTCTGAATTTATTAACATAATTTTTTATTATTTTTTATTGTAATAACATTGAAAATTAAACCAATAAAACTTATTTTGATTATTTGCCCTTCATAATATCTATTTTTACTTGCCTTAATTTCCTACGCTATTTTTACATAATTTATATTTAAACACAGATATGTACGTTGTAAATAATATAACCGACTCAATATAGACTTCAATTAAAAAAAATAAGCCTTTCAAAAATTCGTACATAAAAAAAACATTAAACAAACGAAATAAATATAAAAATCTAGCGAAAGTTTAGTACAAATTAAAATTCACAAGTAAATAGTATTGCCAGGCATGCCAAGGGTGAATGGGGGTGCGAGCACCCCCTACCTCGATGACGTCATTGCCACACCCCCTTATTGGGGATGACACTTTCGACAATTTATATATTTGTATACAAATCCTCAGACTATAAAGACAATTTGATATAGCCATACATTATTAGTAACTTGTTTGATATAATAATTTGTAAAAATATATATTTTTATATAAAAGAGTACTACATACATATAATGATCTTTAGGTATTCCTAATTAAAATATACGATTTTAGTAACCGTATGTGATTTTCAAAGTTTCAATATTTAATAAAAAAAAACATTTAACAGTAAGTGTAATAATAGAAGTTATTTCATTAAATTCCAAATAAACATTTTATAATGAATAATAAACAAAACCTGTGTAACAAGAAAACGAAAATCCAAGGATTTTGTGAAAGTGAAATTAAACCGTCGTTAAAATATTGTTCTGCGCTGTTTTATAGTCACGCGAGAGCATTTTCGTGAATTCTTTTGACATAGTTAAGGGTGGGAGAGTTAGTAACTAATTTACTGTATACACTTATTTATTAAGACATTTATACATTAGTAAAAAATCAAAGAATTATGAAAGAAAACCTAATTTTAAAATCTGCTTGCGAATACCTTTAACAAAAATAGTGTTTATTATACTCCCCGCCCCCCTCTAATCCTGACAAAAAAAGAGGAGTGTTATAATTCTGCAGTAATGTCTGTCTGTGTCATCGTAACACTCTCGAACTGATAGACCGATTTCGATGCTGTTTTTTTTTTTGACAGACACTTTAATTGCGTTGGTCTTTAGCCGGGTTGGTTAATATATGTTTAATAAATATCAGTGTAAGAGCTCCTTTCCAAAATTATTTAAGATGTATTCTACTTACGATATTTTGATTACTCACACATGCTAGTATAATAGTTAAAGTTTTATTTTGGAATTTAATGAAATTTTTAGTTACAAACATGAATATTATCCAAATATCACAAATAACAACGATGCAGGAATATTTCTTAGTAAGCTTTGCTCCGATGCTAAAGTGTTTGCGTCGTATTTCTTAATTGGCCTAAAAGAGTTTAAATTGGATGAGTATTATAGTTAAATGACAATTAAGGCGTAAGGTTTATTTTTATTGAATAAAATCTATTTAACAATTACTGCGAACATAACCATAACCACATTTATATTATTTTATATCTTGTACCTAAAAAATCTCTATTAAAATATCTATCTTACGTCAGGATGTATATGAATAATAAGAATAAAAATCTCAATGCATAAGTACTTGAAAAAAAAACTTAAAACAATCCTACAGAGAAAAAAAAAATAACCTCAATGGAATTTCCCATATTAATATATACGGAACCATAGAAATTCAAAACACGTACTCTTAAATAGAACCATTAAATGCAGACGTCTGTTTTACAGAGTATATCCAGTATTACATAGCATTACAAGCGCAAACAACTCCAGCAAACAATAGAAAACATTTGGTCTTTGTTCAGAACAGAGTGGAATTAGCACATTAGAGCCGGTCTGACTCAACAAAAATCAACCTTCAACAACAACGACAGCTCGGAAATAACGACACACGAAATATAACTATGTATGATACTTGACAAAAACTTCATATAAAGAATAATCTATGTAAAATCACAGAACATAACAGTATTTAATAAAGAACTCGACGTACCCAAATTACATGTCGAACAGATTGTATCAGACTGATCGAGGGTGGTGTCATTGTGGCGCTGGGGTAGGTACAGTGAGTGACGTCATCACTACATACCTACCCCCATAACAAAGGATGGTCATAACCGTCTTCCTTAATGTCAGTGACGTAATGGCACACCCTTCGGAAGGCCAAAGGTTTATGGGCAACAGCGAATGTGTCTATTAGGGGAAGTATAGCAGTCTATAGTGGAGTTCGAATTAGGTATATATATTTATTCACATCCCTACTAATATTATAATGCGAAATAATTATGCGAAATAATTATGCGAAAGTAATTCTGTCTGTCTGTCTGTCTGAACTGATTTTAATGAAATTTGGTACAAAGATAGAATTGACCTTGAGAAAGAAAATAGGATAGTTTTTATCTCAGACTTTTGAAAGGTTCTCTTGGAAACGCGATATAACCGGACTCCACAAGCTACGGCGGAAAGCTAGTATATAGCTAGTATATAGCTAATATTTTTACAAAAACATTGTCAAAATTCTATAATTTATCAACTCAAAACCATATAAAATTCGTATATACAAATCTGTCTTAATGCATTGTTTATGTATATCAAGTATATTAAAAGTGCCTAGAACTATTGAGTTATGCTTTTTCTAATCAATACGCCCTTCACAATCACAAACGGTCCACACCCTCCTTTACATTGATTTACTACTTAAATATAAATAAATATATACATATATAACAATACTCTAATATCTTATGTAGACGTATATATACTACAAGTAAATCTATCTATATACAAAATTTGTACGGCGGAATTTGAATTGAATTGTTATTGGAGTAGACAGCTGATGGACAGAATATATTTTCACACTAAAATTAAAACAGAAAAATTTAACTATGTTTTCGTTAGAGATAATAGAATCGATCCTTTCAAATAAAACAACAAAAACTCACTTCCAAACTATACCGTAGTATAGAAAGTTAAAGTTGACTACAAAAAGTTTCACATCGCTATCTCACCCCAGTCTATTTCCATAGTTTTAGTGATTGCTTTCGCTGTTATATTGACAAAGTTCTAAGTCAGAACGAATGCAAAAATATTCAACAAATAACAGGAGAATTGAGTTACATTCAAAACTATATGAACATATAAAATTAATGAGTTATATGTACTGAAATTAATATA